CTCTCTCTCCTGCTAGTCTGCGGACAGGCTCAAAACGCGGCCAAAGTGTACCGCTCCGGTTCAGGCGCTGAATTCTGCTTCATCCGCCGTCTGCAGCCATACGCTCAACGCACTCTTACCAAGGCGCAAACTGAGAACGCCATGATGTGAGCCTACTCAAAAATATGCAGTAGGCTTTGCAAACTATCGTTTACGCCTGAAGCTGATTTCATTTTTTGGATGCTTATTAAGACCTGGAAGTTGGCCGCATAGGTTGTCTGGGTCATAAAGACTTCCTATTAACACGAGTGACGATGCTTCAAATAACCGTCTTCTTCTAATCATCATTCTCAGTGTTTACTTTAACCATTCTTTTGCTTCAACCATTAAAAGTTAGTAAGGTGTAGCGTGCCCACATGTGATGATTTTGCATCAGAATCGATGGGGTTTTAGTTTAGTCGGGCTGTTCAAGGGTAAGGAACATAGTTTTCCTCACGGCTGGGCAGAGCTTCAGAGCTGGGCAGTTGTGTGAACCTGATTTTGCTGTTGGTTTTTTTTCAGCTATCATCAGAAGGCACTAAACACTATGCCACAGCTGCAGTTGAAGGCGAGCTTTGGCATTGCTACACCGGAACTACCTCAGGGCCTCACTCTAACTGCTGATGAGTCGTGGCAAGAGGCGATGTCTGGTTTCGATCCTTCGAAGGTGGCCAAGTGGATGACGCAGAAGGATGTATGAATTGTTGTTGAATTCATTTCTCCTTTTGTTAGGATTATGTTAATTGAATCTGTGTCTACCCATCTCATACCAACTCTACGCACTTATTCTGTACTTTCATTTTAGTACAACTCGAATCAGAAGGAGGCGGAAAAGTTGCATTCAATTCCCGAGACTCCCATCTACCAGGGTGACAAGGATCCTAACAATGCAAGCGGATGTGTTCTCTCTTGAATGGGCGTGATGATGTCGCCAGCGGGATTTGTAAGCGGAATAACACACACACACATAAGCTAGTACTAAAGATGACTTTATACCCAGCAAATATCTCATCTCCACTTGTAACTGTGATTACTACTTGAGCCTCTTTTTGTCCACACCCATTTTTTCTACTTGATAAATAAGTATTCAAATTGCGTCGTTTTGTGGAGCTCTTCTCTTGCAGATACTGCTATTCGCTTCATCACACATTTGATGGCCGCTCTTTCACACTAGAGACGGTGCACTTTACAATTTCTTGTTCCATTTAAGTCGATCAAGTTTCAATCACTGACACATTTGCTACAGGTCTCAGAGGATGATCAGTACCGGGATTTGTCAAATGTGTGGCTATATGAAATGGCATAAGTAACGGGGAATAATAAAGTGATGAGGGCACGTGACACATTGTTTGTGATGAGGAAATTTTCGCGTCGCAGATATGTGACGTTGATGAACACAGGGTGCAACAGAGAAAGAAACGTCTTATCACATTCCCTGTCAGTTGGAAATTTGATCTAATCAAGTCCATGGAGATCGTCCATTGCATACTTATGTGAAGGTTGACGGTCGGTCATTATTTTGGTAGATGGGAAAATAAGAATACTAGCACAACAAAGATGTCCATTTTTGGTCTTTCTTCTCCTTAAATGAACTGGACGATTTCAAAATTGCATATGAGTGTTGCAAAAACTCCAGCATTTTAGAACTCCGCCCTCTTCTGTGGTGTACTTTGCGAAGGCATATGGGCATCTTCAGTAATACCGATTGACTAAATTCTTTACAAAACTCTATTCAGTGTCAGGACAGAAACACCAAATCTGGTGCTTCTCCCCTGCCAGCATCTGCTGAAATGACCACCTGACACCTGCACTTTGCTGCTTGTGAATCAGGGCAGGGGTAAGGGCAGATCCACCATCCACACTCAACATTCCTGTCAGCGCACTGTTAATGGACATTCAGGGCGCACAGTTTACTTCACACCTTTTAAACCATTTTGGATCTCCTTGATTTAGTGAGTCAAGCTTTTTTTTCGGTCTTATGAACT